TGTGTGTGTGTGTGTCTGTGTGTGTGTGTGTGTGTGTGTGTGTGTGTGTGTGTGAGTCTCCAAGATATAGCCCACTCTTCATCTTTTCAAAAAAGAAAAGCGAGTGACAAGAAAAAAATTGCTTCCAAGTACAATCAGTGGATATTCCCCAGATCAAATTATAAGAGTTACAAAGTTTTGTGAAGCAGTATAAGTGAAACAGTCAGAAGTTAAAAGTGGAGTGGTTTTTTTTTCAACAAAATTCTAGATTCCAGCCATTCTATTTTGGTGTTTACTCATTATAAAATTCCTAAATTTGGCTTCATTTCTATTTGGTTTACAAATATTTAGGTCTTAACTGGATCAGGTACAAAAAATTCTATTTGGTTTACAAATATTTAGGTCTTAACTGGATCAGGTACAACAATTTTTTAAGTTAAAAATTTCCTTGCTTTCAGAAAACTGAAAGTTCTGGGTCATATTTGAGAAATAGTATTTACTATAAAACAGTTTTGTCATATTATCTATTTTCTCTTCTCTTGCATATATAAATGAGACAGCATAATATTCCCTCTAAATAGCTTTTCTGTTATTTGGGGTTACATATATGCTGATAAACAGAGGAAATCATTAAATTCTTTATTTTATTTATTCACACATTTCATTTAATTTAATTTTGGTGTTTTGAGGCAAGGTCTTTCTGTGTAATAAGGTTGGCCTTCAACTCACTACATAGCCCAGGCTGGCCTCAAACTCACAACAATCCTCCTGCCTCAGCTTCTCAAGTGCCCAGTGAAAATTGTTAAAGTCTAACTATTAAAAATAAAGATGATTTTAAAAAGACATAAAATCATGCAATACGTTTTCTCTGCCCCATTAAATTTTCAGTTAATAAGTACACGTATTACACATACATGTCACTTTGATTCACATAGCCATCGTACTCTTGAAAAATATTCTATTTTCTGAAACTGTGTTATTATAATGTTTTAGTGAAAGCCAGGAAGTAAACCAGACATTTCTTGCCAAAGCCGCTTAAGACAATTCTTCTTAATACATTTACAGTAGAATTCAGTGCATGTCTCCAGTACGCCTTTTTATCTGAGCAGGTGATTTCTTTCATCTGAGCAGTTGAAGATAATGAAGCCATTTCTGCAGTAATAAATCTCTTCCTCACAAGTATTTGTCCACCCTAATGAACAAGCGAGACTATCTGAACAATTCCACCTTCTTCTGAGCATTTGAATTATGTTATTGAATCTGGAATTAATACTATCGAAGTAGTCATATTAAATCCTCTGTGGAAACGAAAATAAAACCTAAGTGTTTCCTTGGTGCTTCCAAAACTATAGTCCTGGAAATGTTTCTGAGGACCTGCTCCGGACCAGTCACGGTACTGGACACAGAGACTGAGTATAGGATCAAATCCAGATAGTCTCTGCCTGTAGTGCTCACAGAAAGAGCCGCATTAATCAGGGAGCTGCATGCGAGGCAAATGTTAGAAGATGAGGCTGCAGGTGCCGAAGAAAAAGTTGCAGTGAAAGTTGGTAACAGGACTCTCTGATAGATCAAAGGAAGAAGGTGTCTGTGACAAAGACACGTAAACTAAGAAGGGAAGAGTTCCTGTTAGAGCAGAGACAAGGTAGGGATAGAGCAGAGCATTTCAGACCAGAAAACGATGCTGGCTCAGTGCCCCTGAATTCTGGGAGGTTAGCGGATATTTGAAGAGCAGGAAGAGTAATATAAAAAGCAGCAGAAAGCTCGGTCAGGAGGTTGATAAGCAGAGTCCACCGGCCATGCGTGAATGTGGGTTTTATGCCAAATGCAGTGAAAAACCAGAGAAAGACATTAAACAGGAGCTCCTGAGAAACTCACTCGCAGAATGGAGTTAGGGAAACAACTGGAAAGGAGGTTAGGTTGAAGAAGTGATTTTTATGAGGTTATTGTAGTCACACAACAATAATGGAGAAGACTGATAAAATTAGGTGACTTCTAGAAAGATGGAACAGAGACTTAGTAAAGGAGGCTCAGGTCAGGAGATAGAATCGGGCTCCCAGATTTCTAGCTTGGTGGACAGCAGTTCTTTGAAGAAGCAGGAAGAGAAGACAGATTTGGGGTGTCCAGATCAGCTCGCCTCACCTTGAGCACAGAGATTTTTAGGCACCTGTGAGACACTGGATTGTTGATGACAAGTTAGCGTTTGACAGCACCATCTGGGGCCCAGCAAAGTGGCCCAAGCTGGAGGTACAAATTTCGGGTTTGCTTTTCTGGATGGGAACTGAAGCCATGGGAGGGGACAGACTGTATACAGGGAAGGCAGGAAAGAAGCCACAGGCCGTGTCTGAGGAACTCGAGGGTCCCCAGGTCACAAGAAGAAGAGTGAGAAAAAGAACCTGGAAAAGGGTAGTCTGAATCACAGAGGAAACTGGGACAGGAACCCCCCCCAGCAAAGAGAACCGAAGAAAATTAATCAAAAGTGTTGAATTCTGCTTAAGAGTCAGTTCAGGCATATGCTTCATAGAAGAAATTCCAGTGACTGCCCTGCTGGCGAGAGGATTTCTGCAACCTCAAAGTGCTCGCCACCAGCGGAAACAGACCTAGGACAAACTTCTAAACTGAGTGAAACACGTAAGTACTTGTTAGTTTTGATGTGGGGACTCGGAGAATAAGAAAATCAGTGTTATTGTCTGAATGATTTTGCAAAATTGATGTTAAGCGTTTTAGACAAAATTATGTTTGAATGTGTTTTTAGGGTGTTCGGTTTCACAATGACATTTTTTTAACTCTTATTTTCCTTTATGTGTGTTTTGTTTGGCTGCTACAGAGCAACTGTGTACGACAAAGAAGAAAAGAACAATTTCCCAGCTCAAGAATACAAGCGTGTTTGACGCCGCCCAGTAACTTCAGCACACACTAGCCCATTCAGGGAAGAGTTTCAGAATCCAGTTCTGTTGGGGTTGGCTTTGACCCACTGCGGCCACTTCACAGAGATCCAGGAATTTGGCCTTAAAGAAAATTGGACCTAACGGCAAAGGAAGATATTGTTCTTTCCTCTTCAGGGTGACAAAATGGCCCATCTGTTAAAGGACTCAGCAAGAGCTGGGACAAATGTCATAGACACTTACTAATTCAAAATTGGAGATAATTTGGACACGCCATAATTCAGTTATTACCACTTCAATTATAATTATGTAAAACTTGTTCTTAAATATTTAAGTACTTTAGATGTATATTTTTAATTTTAATAAAATGGTGTCATTCATAATCTAAGTTTCCCCCCAAAAAGTTAAAAAGCCTTTTAAGCATTGTATTGCTGATTTCTTATAAATAATGAATTTTTCCCAGGGTGATTCACTTTTAATATTAACATTTTTGATAATGAGCATGTTTTGTGTGTTTATTTGCTTTGATGCTGCTTAGGGAATGCCTTTGCTGGGTGAAGGCGATATTTTTCAATTGTCTTTATAGTATTTTTAAATATACTTGAAAAAGTCACATGTTTAAAAGCCATGACTACATTTCCTTAAAACTATGTAATTATACTCACTAATTAACTTGAACTCCTCAATTTTATAATAAATTGACAATGCTTTCAGACTATAATTAAAATTCCCAAATTAATTTGAGTAGCTTAAAAGACTTTGGTCTGATCCTGCTTAGATTTTATTTAACATAGTGGGGGTTAGGCAAAAGGTTTGTGGATAACCCTAACATTCTTGGGTGAGCTCTTTATCCATAATACTCCTCTTGAATCTGTAAATTTCCTGCCAAGAGCTATTACTATAATCTGAAAACACTTAAAGTTTTGAAGGAAACATTTTAAAATACTAATTTTTTGACCAATGTATATCACCCCAAATAATTTGTACAAATTTCAAACAAATCAGAAAGCTTTTATTCTTATAGATGTATGCAGTTAACCATAAACTACAGTTCTGTACACTTTGATGAGAATTCACATATTGAGTGAATTCAAGGGCCTTTTGACATAAACAAACCCAGAATTAAAATTTATTTTCCTCCTAATATATTCTGAGAGTATCCTTTTTGTTTCTCTGGGATATATTTTATTGCCATTTCGGAGTTATCTGTCATGTGAGTTTATATTTATCAGCTTGCTTAGTGCTTTTAAATTTAATCCCCGGCAATTTCATCATCAGAAAATAGCCATTTTCAAAACAATCCTCTTTGGGTTTAATTCACATGTCAGAGATTCAATACATGTGGCTTCCTTGGGCTCTGGTGTTTTTTTTTTTTTTTTTTTTTTTTTTGATTCAGTCTAGAATGAGCTGAAGGAATGCAGGTGCCAAATGTTAAGTTTTGCTCACCAAGGATGCTAGAAGTTGCTGGAAAGGGGAAACAGTACAAAAGAGCACGAATGTGTTGCTCTAATTTTTGCTTTTAAAAGAGGAAAATTTCTATTTTTAATATGCATGTGAATACAGCAATAAGACTGGAGGTGAATTTTTTCATCTTTGCTATATTTTCTATCATGCTTGAATTATTTTTATAAAAATGATCACTTAAAATGCTATTTTTTTCATGCTGGAAAATACTATGAACTCAGTTACTTTTTGGGAGGAGGAGAGTTTCATTGCTACACTAAACTTGAAAACTAAATTATAAAAGACAATTTTGACCAAGAAAAAATTATTTGGTGCTTGTGTTTTTGTTATTGTTGTTTTTGTACTAGGGATTGACCGTAGGACCTTGTGCTTGCCAGGCAGGTGCTATATCACTGAGCTACATCCCAGCCCTCTTCTTGTGTTTTTAACCTGTAAAAAAGGCTGATGTAAGCCTGAATTTAATTGCATTTCTGAGTCTTTAAATAATACAAACTCACACTGATTCTGGATATTAATTTATAGACTTGGTTTTCAGGTTTGATTACACAGATTTTCTTTCAAAAAATTGACTGAAAGTTTTGCAGTATTCTGGAAGGTTCAGAGAACATTCTCCAGAACCAAAATTACCCTCCCACTGAGAAACTTCATAGGATATTCCTAAATTAATGTGATTAATTTCCATCGCTTTGATAATACTTCTTCAGCTTTGCTTCTCTTTTTTTTATCTTTTTTTTCCTCACTTTTGCCGTTGAATAGTCCTGAGGAAACACAGATGGAAAGAAAACAAATTCAGGTTAAACAACGTGGATTTCAGTTATGTCTCCTCCATTTCCCAAACAAATGTCTTTGCATATCATTTAAGATTTTATATACCTGTCTTGGCCTCTTTATCTGCAAAACCAGCACAATAGCTCCTGTCTCTTCCATGCCTCATTGCACTGTTACAAGGATAAAATTATAGTGGTATCCAAGAAAAGGCTGTTATTTTGATCATTAAAATATTGTTTTTAGTAGGTGCAGAAAAATTGAAATCGTGTATTATGTTCAGTTGCTTTCATCTCAGACACTAGAAGATAAATCAACAAGAATTTTCAAAAGCATTTCAGAAGTATAGTTTCAATAAGAATTTGCAAAAGTGGGAACACAAGCAGAAGGTTACAGTTGTCTAAATAGCAAAGTAACCAGAGATTAAATATAAACGTAAAATATGTAAATAGGAATGCATGTGCATATTGTTAGACAAATCGAGTTACTCACTAAATGGGTCCATGTATATGCTCCCTCGGCTGTGGCAAGTTGAGAGACTTTTCTCTGTTGTTGTTGTTTCTGTTTTTAGTTTAGCTCCCATGCTGCATAATTTGTTGTTCTCGGTGGCTTCATTGGTAACTTTTATTTAGTATCTACCTACAGGACATTGTGTGGGTACTGCTCGGGGTATTAAAGCACTGCATCTTGCAATTACTTCAACAGACTCCACCCACAAACATCAGTTGATCCATAATTATCTGATAGACATTGTACCTAGCAGACAATGAAGCCACTAAAAAATAAAATATAATCTCTGGACAATCGTACATTCTTAAAGGTAGATAATGTGAGTGCACCAATAAATATGGTACAAGACCTAAACAAGGACGCAGGAGAGAGGTACAAAATAAACCACTTTGGAGCTCACAGGAGTGAAGAATCATTTGGCTGGACTGAAGTCTAAAAGCTGTTTACAGTGGGCAGAAAACTGTGAGCTATCAGGTGTGATAAGTTTCATTTGGTTGCAGGGTGAGGTTGTCCGAATTGCATTTCACATGGACCTGAAAGAATTTGGGGACGAAGAAGTAAAGAGATTTGCTCACTTGAAATTCACCTTGAGTATTTTGTTGGCCGTGCACTGCCCAGGGAGCTGGAACTGTAACGGTGAGCAGATCACACCTGCGCTTCCTTAGGAAGGAAGACCAGAGGGAGAGGAGCGCAGACACGTTGTTGGACTGGTGGGGGCTACCGGAGACACAATGGATTCAGGTTTCCTAAGAGACCAGGAGGAAGTGAGGCCATGTTGGAAAGGGCACAGAATGGCCCCTAGCAGGTTAAAAGAGGTTTGCAGAGGCAGGGATGAAATATCCAAGTACAGTTTCTGTAAGCTTAATCTGACATTGAGTTCAGGATAAATCAAGATGGTTTAAAATGCCCATGCGTGTACTAGGAACTTTATATGAATGTAAAACATTTTACATAATGTTCTTTCCTGTAATCCTTACAATCGTGTTGAGAAATCTGCGCCAGAATGCTAATCTTATAGATGAGGAAACACACTTGGAGAAGTAAAACAAGTTACTCAAAGCTCAGGAGCTGGTGGTGTTGGGATTTCAATCCTGGGGTTGACTCCACAGTCTGTGATCCTATATTTTTCCTTGCACTGTGTCCCCAGGAGAATGAAAAAGTAGCAAGCAGAGAAAAATGCAGCTTCGGGGTGGGGGATTTAGCTCAGCGGCATAAGCACCTGCCTTGCAAGCAGGTGGTCATGAGTTCGATCCCCAGTACCGATTAAAAAAAAAGAAAGAAAGAAAAGAAAAGAAAAATGGAGCTTCAGCTGAGCTCCTCAGAACCGCCCGCCCAGGCGGCATCAGCTGATTTGTTCAATTTCATGAAGCTATGCGATGCATTGATGCATTGCTAACTTATTCATCCCTGCAACAACTCTTTCCCATGTCAAGTGCTATGCTAGGTATTTAGACATGAGATTAAGAAGAAGGAGTCTTTGTCTTTAAAGAGATTAAAATCTAGAAGAGGAGACAGAGAGCTCTAGGGAGATAATCCAGAACTTGCCCATGAAGTGCTAGCTGCTCGTTTGTTTGAAAAATATCCCACTGACAGATTAGAAGTGGGAATATAAATCTGACCAGGTCTTTAAACAGTATGGTACAAATAATGCTTTTAAAATATCCATACCCTTGGGCACATGTGACACTCTGGGATTCCATTGAAAGAAATGATTTGAAGTCTATATATGATATAAGTCTATATATATAGACTTATACACAAAGTTATTCACTGAAGCTTTATTTATAATGCCAAATTTTATTAAAATCTAAATTGTCAAAAGAGAAGCAAATTGCGATGCTTCCATAACCCTATGACATTATCACGACTATTTATGCATTTTATATTGCTTCTAAGTACAATACCATTTATTACATAGAATCCATCGCCATTAGTTAAGGATTTTGTATTTGCAAATTGGCTTACTTGGCTGAAATTTATAGGTAACCCTGTCAGTCCATTTTGTGCTGCTATAATAAAATACCTGAGCCCATTAGACACAGTTTTTGACAGCAAAAGCGCAAAATCAAGCAGCCTCATTTATTCAGTCTATGGTGAGGGCCTTTGCCTGCATCATCGCAGCAGATGGGATCTGGGCACAGATGCGTGCATGTGAGGCACAGAGAGATGATCCAGAAACACAGGAAGAGAGACTAGGGAGGGGCAAGCCCTCTCTTTCTACAAAAAAATGGATTCCTGCCAGACTTGATCCAGTCACATGAAAAGCAGTCTATTCAGGATGGTGGAGGTCAGTGACCTTCCAGGAGGCCCAAGAGGTCCCACCACTGCTTAAACATTTCACCATCTCTACCCCACCTCCCAGGTGCCCAAGACTGTAGGCCTTAAACCTTTAACAGACAAATGATATCCAAAGAAGTTAACAGACAAAGGATATCCAAAGAGTTGCAAGATCAGCACTCCTGAAGGTTCCATGGTCATTTGCAGAGATGCAAAAAGCTACAAAAGAAAAAAAAAAAGTTAACCCTTCTGGTGAGCACATTCTCAGCCAGAGGTCAAACAAAACAAACAGCTGGCTTCCCTATTCAGTTTCAATACAGTAAACAATGGCATTTACATGGTATCCTTCCTGTGAAATTTTCCACATTCTTATCCATTTTATTAGTGATTACACTGCTTAAAACAGCCCCCAACTGTAGGGCTGGGAAACTTAAGTGTGCTAGATCTGTGACAGATCCTCATGGAGAAAATATGGGTATCAGATAGTATTTTTCAGGCAGGTGTTACAATGCCCCAACCTCAACAATGTATCAAGCAAGGTGTTCTCAACAGCAATGAGCACAGACCAAAACACACAGTGTATAAAGCTGTTACTCAGTTGATGAAATTGTAGCCAGAGTCACATAGGAACTGAACTCTTTGTCAAGAAGCAATGCTTCAATATTGCTAATTTGGTGTTCAATGGAACTCTACAGAAGGTGATTGTGACTTTATGATACAATAAAACAACTATTGTATTTGTTGTTTGTTCCTAGGTCCTGACACACTGCCTTCTTGCAGTGCTAGAATTTCTGGGAAACAGCATACAATTTATAATAGATGGGTTGAAAGCTTTTGGGTTGGTGACCATATCTACATAAAAGAAGTAGGGTTCCCACTCCCGAGAGTACCAAAGTTCCTGGGGGTTAAGGTTTCTTCCAGACCTTGCTTTTCCCAATTTGTTATCTGACTATGCAGTTATAACCAGAAATGGCAAGTGACGTGTTTGCCTGAGGTAAAGAGAAAGTCATGAAAATCACCAATTTATACCTCATTGGCTGGATGTATAGGTGGCCTGGGCGACATATGTGACTAGTTTTGGTGTGACTGCCCTTAAACCTCTAAGCTATGGCATCGGATGCTAACTTTGCTTTTCATTTTTGTTTTGGGTGCGGGAATTGAACTTAAGATCTGGCACTTAACAGACAGGCGTTGTGCTGCTGAGCTGCATCTGCACCCCTTAACTTTGTCGTTTATGTCAGAATTAATCAATTGTTGGAAACTAGTTGGTATCCAGAGAGTGGAAGAGGGATACTTGGCTCAGAAAAAATAAACACCCTTGTTATCAGAAATTTTCAGAACATAGAAACAGATTTTAATATCAATAACTAATACAATAACAGTGGTATATACACACAATACCCAAATATTAACTACATAGCTTTTGTATCATAGAATAGTAATTTCTCATCTTCTATAACATTCAATATGCTCTATATTCTCAATTCAGAGCAAAATGCAATTGAAAATATTTAAATACGGCATAGGCTTATATTAAAAACATATTACATCACAGTGTAAGATTCATGTAAATAAATAGCAGTTTACTTGTGCTTTAATTTTGCTGTGGATGAATGGAGTAGGTGTCTTTATTACTTTCTCATCCCTGAGACACAGTACCCAACACGCACAGTTTTAAAGAGAAAAGGTTTACTTTAGCTGGCAGTCTGTAGAAGATTTAGTCCTTGGTCTGCTGGTTCCACAGCAAGGGGGCACGACAGAGGACAAAGAACTCAAGGCACTGCAGGCAGGAAGCAGAGGGATCAAGGGAGGAGGAGGGATGTAAACTCATTCCAAGCCAAGCCCACAGTGACCCACCTCTTCTACCAGGCTTCCCCTCCCGAGCGTCACACTCAGGTATAAACCCATCTGTGGACTAATCCAGTGTCACACATCCATGATCCAGTCACCTCCCCAACGCTCCACCTCAGAATGCATGGGACATGGGGGATGTCCAGATGTAAACCATAATAGTGGGTATAGCTGGGCAGATAGCAAGGGTCATTTTTGATACTGTGTTTTGAAGGAACTATGTCTGGGGTCAATAGTCTTTTAATCACCTGCCTATGAAGAAGGCTAACATTCAGAGCACAGATCACTCTCCAAATCCCTGCAGGCCTCCATGCATTGTCTCATCCTGTGCTGGTCTCACAAAGCTTACTTAACAAATATCTCCCAAGTGGTTTGTATCTCTTGGACAAAGTCAGTGCATGAAGGGAGATCTGCCAAAGAGATGGTTTGGTATATTTTAAAGCTGACCAGAAATAAATCATTTTCACCTTGGTTAATGCAACCCTGTGAGAACCAGGGTAGAAAAAAAGATCTGCTGACCAGGAAGAAGCCTAGAATGTACATGCACACACACACACACACACACACACACACACACACACACACACACACGAGACCGCATGCATATCCCATAACAGTAGCATTAACCTGAAGATTTTTCCAGGTCCTGCCATACGGG